TATAACCTAAAACAATAAAAAGATAAAAAAATATACTTTTTTAGTAGACTCCAAATACTCTCTTAATGACAAATGACTTAATAATTTTCAGATTTTTTAAGCAAAAATTAACTTTTTTAACCTGTTGCCAAACGCTCATAGATTCAAGCACATGATTAGGTAAAGAAAGATGAGATCAGATGGGATGATCAACTATTTATCAAGTTCATGCACTTGCAAGATGCATGTATTGTAGTATCAAAATTACAGAATTTCCCAATGCCGACTTTATTCGTTACTGTTAAATAAAAGACACATATTCAACATTAAAATAATTCTGATCATACAATTTTTTTTTAATTTTTAATTTTTATAGCTAGTGTCTGGATCAATTTATGCATACTTGATTAATTTTAGAGGATCAATTCTATAATTCACTGGCAAGGACCCTTTTAAAGTGAGAGCAACTTTGATCACACCTATCATTTAATATATTACTGTTTCACTGAAATTGCTTAACCTCTATTTTTTTTTGTATTTTCTGTGACTATTGTTGGTTGTGTATATCTCTAGATTTATTGAAAATTCAAAAGAAATAACTTTTATTTTTCTCATGTAATAAAGTCAAAGCATTGGTATCAAGTGGATGAGATGCTTCGTACTGTTATAACTTCCCATTCCCTTATTTCTCGCCTAATTATAATAAGAAAAATGCTTGGTGGCCCGAATTTATGTGACTCAAATGACTTGAATGTGCCAAAACGACGTTGTTTTATACTCAAAACGACGTCGTTTTGAGTGATTCAAGTCATTCGAGTCATGATTTTTCAGATCACCTAACATTGTTGTTGTAATAAAAACTAGTAGAATATATGAATAGATAAGATTTTATATAGAATTTGATGGACCTATTTCAAAAAAAATCTTATTTATGTATATATATAATTCTATGACTGATTTTTGTGTTATTATAACATATAAGGATTTTAGAGATATTTCGTTCCGAAAAATAAAAATTTTATTGCAAAACATTAGGAGACCAATTTATGTTATCATATGAATCATCACAAAAAAAGTCGTCTAGAAAAGTAAAAAAATGATCTTTAAAAATGTTAGGATAAATTACACTAACACCCTTGAAATTTGGTTCAATTACATTCCACCCCTGACATTCTAGAAATTACGTTTATACTCCTGTGGCTAATAGTCTTTATTTCACAAATTCTCTATTTATATAAAAAACAATAATTCCTAGTAGAAAAAAATAGAAAATTACATTGAAAAAAAAAATAAGGCAAAGGAAAGGAAAAAAAAAAGGGGGGGAGGAAGTAAAACAAAGTAAGAAAAGAGAGAGTGTATAAGTTTAATGTTTTCATTTCGTCTAAATAGTTACAATGACAGGGGGTTAGTGTAATTTTTCAAATGTTAAGGAGTGATATGTATTAAACTCAAATATCAGAAGTATAAGTGTAATTTACCCTAAATATTACTAATAAATGTATTTTAGAGATAAAATAACCGTGTTAAAAAATTTATTTTTTGATATGAAAATTTTGATTTTTATCATAATTGTCTGGACAGGCATAGGTAGTAAGCTATTTGTGCAAGAACAAGGCAGATGTTGGTGCTGCTACTATGGATGACAAGGGCGCTTCAAGAGAGTAAGCGTGAAATGACTAATGCGATGAGAATTGGTAAGCTATATAAAATTGATGAATTCTACGTTTTATCAAATTTTTATATATACATATGGACATTATTAACACATTATACTAACATATTGTAGGTGTCAGATGCATCTAGTGGGCAACAAGCTTCAAAACGGTGCTTCTCTAACTTTATTAGTTCATTTGATGAATAGAGATATTGTTAGAATTGACTATGGGACTTGTCTCTAGATTAAGTCGGTCCGTATACGAAGTAAATATATATATATATATATATATTGGATTTCAACCTTTTATTTGCAACCCAGCATGGCTTCTTTGACTACTGTCCTCATTGTCGGCTGGCACCATTACTAAAGCATTCTCTGTGTCTCTCTCTCTTTTCTATGTGCTAATTGATTGGGGAAACATATCTAATGCTTGTGACTTTTTTATAGTTTTGAATCTCATAGAGAGTTTTATCCATTAATTGGGGTGTCTATTTATCAGTTGAAGCCATGAGTCAAGGGATAATAAATATGGGTCCAACAAATTTTAATACTATAGGCAACTTTTGATTTTGTGGCAAATAAGCAAAGTTATGAACCATCATCGCATGTCAACCATAGTGGTAGACATCATTTGGTTCAATGGGCCTATTGCATGAGTACATTTATATCACATGCTCATGATATTTTGTCATTATATATATATATATATATATTTTAATATACTCTTAAACATTAGATTAAATAAATTTTTTAATAAAATGTATGTGAATCTTAAAAGATGATAAAAGATTTATACCGTGAAGTTCTTTTTTAATACTAAATTACATTTGAAAAAAAAAAGTATAAACTATAAGGGGTTAGTTTAGTGGGTGCAATTTAGGATCTGAGGTTGTGCTCTCTTTAAGATTCAGGTTTAATTCTAACGAAGTGCATTCAGTTACCCTTAGACATTCAGTCATTAAAAAATCAAAAAGCAACAATCTTCAATCAAATTTATCTAGATATCAGATTCAAAAATTAATCCGATCAGATCAGTTGACAAAGCTAGGGAGATAGCGAATTGTTTATGCTAAGTCTCTCTTAGATTATCATTCTAAGTAGAATATAAATATATATATATTTTTTAAGCATTGGATATCATAGTTAATTGCACCCCCCCGAAAAATGGTGGATTCACCGACCTCATAGTGAACCACCACCCAGCTTGGTTTAACTACCTCAGGTGTTAGCCTTCATTAAACTTAGAAGGTTCATCCTGCCAGCCCATCATAATATATTGACCAATTTTTAATTGTCAATCAATATGAAATTCATGAAATGCTTTTCTATTCAATTCAACAATATAGGTTCTCCCCAGTTGAACATAATTATTTATTTATTTATTTTTAAATCATACATATATTGAACTATTTTTCCTTTAGATAATATTATAGTACACACTCATCAATGACTAGTGGAATAGTAGCTTTAATGCACTGCCCAATCCACCCTCCCCCTTCTTCATAAGAGCTTTCTTTGAAAAATAGATGATTGGTAAGTTTGTCTTGTGTTTGGTTCAAAGATTTGGTGAGGAAAAGGGGAAATGTAGCTGTCTTATGTTGTCTTATATTTCACACCTTTCACATGCTTTCCATTTTTCTTTTTAAATTCCTATCCAAATCCATGAACCAAACATAGTCTTATAGTGTTATAGAAGCCATGTTGTGGATGTGGCGCATGTAATAGCCTTTGAAGCATGTACTCGATTATATCTAGGTTCCCTGGTGGAACATTTAATAGCTGATTCAATTAGTTGTCATTTACATATGGAATACCATGATTTGCATTTTTCTTCCATTTTTTTTGCATGTATACACACCCAGTTCTACAATTCAATAGGTTGAATGTTGTGTTTTTAAGGATATGTAATGTTGAGAATGGCTTATTGTGATAGGTTTAGATACCTGTGAACTCACTTGCAGGAAGTACATATGTTTCTCCTTGTCAGCGTTGACCTTGGTTCATGTTCCGTGAACAAAATAATGGGGGACTTCTTTTTTCGAGTTCTGTAGTTGAATGAGTAGGCTTCAATCAAGTTTGGTTCATCGAATAGTATACAAATTGATGTTGTTGGGATGACTTGTGCCTGACTGGGGAAAAAAAAATTGTATTTTGCAACGTTTGTGAAACTCAAAAATAAAATGATATTAAAAAACAATTGCATTACAAATGTATTCGTGTTTTGTATGTTGTTCATTTATTTATCATGTTATCGTATTATATCATAATTGGGTTTGTGTCAAAAAAATAGTAAAATCTAATTGCTAATCTCATGTGTTAACTTGTATCAAACAATTTCATTTCTAATCTGGTGCACCTTGCAAAAAGCATTTGGCAGCAAGCATAATAGCTGGCTTATTGCGATGCCACAAACTCTATCCCACATCGCAAATGAAGTTGGCGACACATTAGTATTTCATAGAAGCATTGAAACAACATAGGTGCTGGATTCAATTAGATTATCAGCTGTAATTTTTTATTTTTTTATTTTTTCGTAATGAATAAAAGAAAAAAGGGTACAAAGAAGCTTATAAATGAAAGTTTGCAGGGACTATGACTATGACGGTTTACATAGTAGCATACCCAATGGGGCACCCCATGAACCTTACTAGAGAATGCAATACTAAGTGGAAACTTTATTATGAAGGGGATTTAACAAAGTTGTGACACAGCCCAATCCATCCAAATTAACTGAAACTTGGGTGGTAAAAGGCAGCACGAAATCTTATTTATATATGTATAGATATATATATTAGTGGGCAGGCATGATTGTAGTTTGCAGATGACCAGCTAGCCCTTTACGGGTGTGCATGTGTTACGAGCCTAATCTGAAGGTTCGGAGTGTTGGTCGCTTCGGTAGGTCTCTGTTTCCCTTTTCTTTCCCTTGACCTTGCCTGCATGCTTCGTGTGGCCTTGGTGTTGTTCAAGATACACTACAGGAAATATGGGTTGTGGTGGCGTATTTTTAACGGCGTTTTTTAAAACGCCACTGTTTATAATATGTAACGACGTTTTATAAACGTTGTATTTTTCGTTAAATAAAATGGCACCGTTTCGTAAATAGAAGACGTTTTTGAACGCCTTCAAATGCGTTATCTCTCAGGCACTCCCTCTCTCACTCTTTTCACCCTCTTGATTCTTGAATCTCCAAATCTCTCTCTCTCTCTCTCTGCTGTCTAAACCCCATTAATATCTCAAAGCCATTTCGAACTCCACTGTCTCAAAATCGAAGATCATCTCAAAATCGTTTCAGATCGGTGAGCTCCTCTCTCTCTGTGTGTGTGTGTGTGTGTTGTCTAAACCCTAATTAGATTCATAGATTCAGATCTGTCTCAGGGAAACATATTGGTGATTCAGATCGTTTCGAAGTTCGAAGTTCTCTCTCGAAATCGAAGTTGAGATAATTTCAGATCGATGATTCAGATCATTTCAGATCGGTGATTCAACCATTTCGAAGTTCTCTCTCTCTCGAAATCGAAATCGAAGTTCATCTCAGCGATTCAGATCGGTGAGCTCCACTCTCTCATCTTTCTTTTCTTTTCTTTTCCATCACTTCTTCTTCTTGTCTTCTTAGATGAAGCTGAGGCTGAGGCTGAGGCTGATGAGCAGCAAATATTGATTTCTCTGTATTCACCTCTCATCTTGGTACTGTTTTTGCAGATTAGTTCAGTTTTAGGTAATTTGTTAGATATTCTTGTTGAGGGGGTACAGGTACAGTTTTAGATAATTTTCTCTAGTTCTTCCACACTTTTGTTTATGCTCTGAAGTCTTTCATGTGTAGGGCTGTGAGAGAGAAGTTGTAGAGTCTGCAAATGGTGTCTCAGATGAACTAAAGAGTGAGAGCATTATGCGGTTATCATGGGCTCTTGTTCATTCCAAACAACCAAAAGATGTGCAGTGTGGGATAGCTATGCTTGAAGGTCCGAACCAATAAATTCAGTACTAAATAATTTTTCTTTACAGCAAGGAGTTTATAGTTCTCATACAATTGTGATTTCAATCTTGTTTAATTTTTCCACTCATTCCGTTTAACATCCTCTTGTTGTTTACCACTTTTGTATCTGCAGTAATCACCATCATTCCACTTTTGTATTTGAAGTAATCACCATCATTCCCTTTGGAGTCATGATTAGCTTTGTTTATGCTATTGCTGCTTTTCTATTATTTTTCACTGCACCTTTGTGTTTTAAGTTTTTATTGATGTTGGAAGCTGCACAGAACAGATACAGTTGACCTACCGTATTTGTATTGTTTTGAAATTCTGAGCGTTTATTTGTGATTTTGTATATGAAATTTCAACCCTTGTCAGAAACTAAACAATTCTTCTTTGGCAGCCTCATTAGCCAATAGTGGCAGCCCATTGCAAAATGAGGGAAAAGCTTTATCTTCTTGCTTTTGGGTATTACTGAAGTAGTGAATATCGAAGGAGCAGGCAGCTTGTAGAACAATGTTGGGTAAAAACTTTAATTTGAAATTTTCGAGGTTGAATTTTTTGGTTATGCTTTTGTCTTTCCATTATTGTACCCTTCTGGTTGTGTTCTATTTCAGTTCAAAATATGAGTAAAGAAGAGTTCTTGAAGATCCAGGTACTCTTTAATAAATGATATATATACTTATATACATATATGTATATATATAGGCATTTCCACACTATTATGTTGTTTTCTTGAAATGCTTTGCTTGTTTTGAACTAAAGATTTGAAATACTCTTTACCTGTCATGTTTCTTTTTCTTTTTTCTTTTTTTCTTTACAATACATTTGCAATTGGTTTTGTTGGGAGTTGGGACAAACTAGCAAAATCATCAACTTGTTAGTTTGTTACACCCAAAATACACACAAGAAATGCAAGAAATCAGTACAGTTGCTTCCTTGTAGTGGATAAGGTTAAAATACCTGCGTTGTTGCTGGGTAATTTCTTTCTCTATTTATCTTTATCTTTATCTTTTTTCCTTTTTTTTGGGAGGTAAATATTGTATTTGAATCCTTGTAAGTTGAATGTCAGAGATACATTTCTTTGTAATTTGTTGCATTTGACTCAAGTGGCTCTCGCTCTCTGAGGTATCTGTGTGTATGATTCTTGTATATCATTGGGAGATACTTTGTGTAATATGAGAGGATATGTTGGTGTCTAGAAAGTTCAATTTTCAATTATTTATATAAGACTGCAGAGAGAGTCGCATTCAAGAGTACCATCATGGGAGGAAGTTATGAATATAAAATCCAAATGGCTTTGGAAATGGCTGCCTTTTTTGTTTTTTTTTTTTTTTGTTGTTTGTTGAGAACATTGATATGGTTGTTGATTATGAGTTAATGACTCTTTTTGTTTTCAAGTTGTAGATTAGAAAAAGAAAAACATCATTTATTCATGAAATATAATACTTGAGAGTCGAAACTAGCTGATTAGAGAAAAATTAGCACAATTTCAAAAAAAAAAAAAAAGAAGATATCACGGCGTAGCTGATCACTGGTGAGAATTATACATTCTGTTTTTTAAGGTTATATTGACTATCTTTATGCATTTGATATGCTTTTGCAGTCCTGCAATTCTTAGGTATCTTGCTTGTGCATTTCCTGGAGTTAGCTGATCACATGTGAGAATTGTTCTTCTTTTTTGCAATAGTTTGCCTATAAGGACTATGTTATAGCATTGAAATGACAATTTCTAGTTGGGACCAAATGGTTCTATTGAATGACAATTCTAGAAGCTTAAATTTGTTCACTTTAATTTGCACAAATCCCTCCCAGAAATCTGCTGTTGTGTGTACAATATAACATGAGTCTTACCAATTTGATCAACATTATAGGATATAGTTTGAAAACATCACAATACAAGCTTGTTGTAATACTTTGACTTGAATTGCACATACCCTTCTTCTTCTTTTTAAATTTTGTCAATTTATATCTTGAATTTTGATTTATTTTCATCTAAATCATTTGTATGTTTTTGTTAAGTAAAATCAATAGAAACCATATAATTCTAGTAAAATCATTTTAAATTTATAATAATCTATTAATATTTTTATTTCTAAATACATATATAACATGTTATTCAAATATATGTAGACAAAAATGTTGCATTTTCCATGAATTCATATAAGGATAACAAAGAATATATCACATGATAACAACATAAATACATACATGAATGATTGTTGTAGACAATGCATGATGATTAGGCAAACTGAAACTAATCACTGGAATGTGTCATTGAGTATGACGGTTGAAAGAATACATTAAATTTTTGTGTTGTGTGATGATATGTATAATTATTGTTTATATGCATTGTGTGTTGGAGGAGATAGGAGATGTACTCCACGGTTTAGAGGATGATAGGGGATGGATCCTCTAAACCGGATGTTGTTGGGAGAAAGATAGGAGGATGGACATCCATAGATAGAAGCTCATATGCTTATCTAGTAATGTGTTGACATAGCTCATATGCTTGTCTTTGGAAGTGTGATAGTGCTCTTATGCATATCTATGGAAGTGATGATATAGCTTGTATGCTTATCTGTTGATGTTTGATATAGCTAGTACGCTTATCTAATATGAAATGGGAAGAAGTTTAATATGAGTACTGTCTCATATAAGTTTTTGGCCAGGTTCTGAGCCATGGTTATAAATTGAGATTGAAAAGAAATGGAAATGGATTGTAACATGGACTTGTATGTCATGAACCGTAAAGTGTGATAAGGGAAAGTATCAGTGTTGACCATCTATCAACTGCTAATTCTTTTAGTCATTGTTCATATTTGGTTTAGTGTATTTCTACTCTGGGCTGTGGCTCACCCTAAATGGGAACATCATTTTCAGGTACAGGTATAGCAATGCCACATCCAAGGACGTAAGCTTGGGAGGCTTGAGGCGGGCAGACTTTTGTTGTTTAGTTTCTTTGATGTATTACATGTATATTCAAGCCAAGGGCTTAATGTGTAAATGAGTTAGCACTCTTTTGTTGTAACCAAGTGTTAACTTGGAAAGCTGTAAGCCTTTAGGGCATTTGCTTTTGTTGTTAACATGTAATACTTTTGGTAATGGAACTCTGATGAATAGAAGAATGTGGAGCTTTTATATATCAATGCATGTCTATATTGATGGGTTTAATGTTATTATTTTGATGGCGTTGCAACTTGGTATCAGAGTGTACCGGGTTCGAACACTTTGGGTACGTGGGAAGTGATTAGTATCACAATGGGTTTGTCTCGCTTGATAGAGACTTAGGTGTAGTGTCATATGCTATGTGTTTAAATTGATAACATGCTTAGTGTTTATATGGGTATGAGATTTAATTTCTACGATGTTGATTGGATCCTTGGGTTTCTGGGAGTCTTGTTGGAAAGGCACTTGATCGACGTCGTTTCTAACCGGAACTCTAGTAACGCCTCGGGACTATCATTATCCGGAAATGAAATTCGTAAGTGCTTATGTGTTTATGTGCTTACGTGGAGTGAATTACAATTGTCCATACATTAGGACGTGAGTGTTTAGTTTTGGCGCATTTGTGAATGTGCTAACGTTCTGTATTACCTTTATTAGGATGTCAGGACGAGGAATAGGTGCTAGGCGTTGTAGGCCTGCGAGGCAGGAAGTACCTTTACCGTGTGATATTCCGACAGTACAGGAGGGAGTTGGCCAGGCCAATGTGGCCGAGACAGCAGGTCAGCAGGCTATGAGTGCCTTGGCCCGAGAGATAGCAGGAGCTTTGGGTATTCTCAGAGCAGGGAATCAGGCAGCTGAGGCAGGGCCTTCTTTCTTGAAGAGCGAGTTCTTCCGGTCTAATCCGGACGAGTTTGTTGGAGATCCGAAGGAACCACTGAAGGCTGATGTAGACGTCCCCCGAACGCCCCGGGAGGGTGAAGTCCCGTTTTGTCCATTTTGGGGTTACTACAGCTCGGACTCTCAAATTGTCACGGTTCTTAATCTGAACTAAAGAGTCCAAATCTGGCAAATCGTTTTGAGAAACATATTTTGAAAAAGTAGTGCCAAACATGGACTACTTTGCCAGATACAGAGTCGCCACCTAAATATTTTAATGGGGAAATTTAGGAAACCCTGACTCGGTGCCGAAGGCCACATGTCCGTCATCACCGGAGTTGTCTCGGCTCGGGAGCTTGGGTACGATCGGGGAAGGTCAGCCATGAGCACCCCCTTCAACTTGAACAAGTAATCATATTCATCTTCAGCTCTATACCCTGCCTTAGCCTAGAATTACTATGTTATGCGCACAGCAAACAAGTATAGACTAGATTGCCTAATTTGGAAATAAGCATTGCATATCCGTTTGTTTTGAAAAATGTTTTGGATTTGCTACTTGCAAGTAGGCTAAAACACGGATTTCAATGAGTTTTTCCAACTCAAACAATCCAACCTTCACCCACAGGCATTCAAAACAGTTTAACACATAAGCACTTAGCCGCATGGCAGGTATACTATCATGGCAACACTCACACGCATGCGGGATGCTAAAGCATGAATACTTACATCGTACTCCGTGCCAAAACAGTAAACTAGTTAGCAAACATGCAGTCCTAGTTCATGTTGAAAATGGCTAATGCATCACATGCAAAATGTAATCTAAGCTGGCTCGGCTAACCCTAAACATGGCATGTGAAAATGCACAACTATGACATATTCAGTTTAGAATTTGAAATACAAATGCAGTTAGCGTGATGTACCGAGCCTAATGTATGCAATACAAATGCATGAATGCACGCATGCATAGCATAAGGTATGCTAAATTAAACGTGCCCTAATACTAACCATCAAAGCAGGTAAGTAAAAGGGAAGAAAGAAGTGGGGGTTGGAAGACATACACACCACTCACACACACTTATTACAGATTCGCCCTCACTCGGAGGGACCAAATAAATATTACAAATTAATTAACTACGCGAGCTAATTAAATATTACAAATTAATTAATTTAATTAACAAATTAAATAAACTAATTAAAGCAGGAAAATCGCCTCAGGAAATGCGCTGCCATGCGTGAACTGCCTCTGTTTTCCTTCCTTCACTCCTCTGGAGGCTGCCAAAACCTCAGGACTGCTTCCTTGGACAGAAGGGATCACCACCGGCTAGATGGAATTGCCACCGGCAGTGGGATATGGCCACCGGCACAAAGTGAAGCTATCGGCAGAGAAATGATTGCCGGTCGGCATCTTATACTGCCGGTCGGCAGAGTATTCCTGCAGAATCTGCAAATGACAGCAACAGAGGGCAAGGCAAAGCATGGCAGCACAATTCAAGGCATATATGCACCAACCATATCCCTTATCATGATAATGACTCAAAGGGGCATGTGCCTCGATTCTCGGACCACCAATCACGCATTTCCATGCATGATGGCCCAAAGAACCAAGTATGCAACTTTGATTTCAAATGCAATGCAAATCAATCAAACAAACTCCCAATCCCTATCACCCAAATCAAGGGACAAGGAATGCATGTTGATGCAATGCAACCTAAGCATGTTATCTATCATGCAACATGAACAATGCAATGTAATTATGCAAAGCTTACAAGCAAACATGCAAGGTAAGCATGCAAACCATATAGAAGATGGACTTAAACATGAATTAGGCAGCCCCAAATAGGCCTAAAACAGTGGCCAAAATGCTAAAATGAGGGGCCAAATACACATGCACACATACACATATTGAAGGCCAACACTTAAGCACAAATTGAACAACCCTCAAACACATTTGAAAGGGGGAATCATGGACTAATTAGCATGCAACATAAGCATTGAAATCATGCTAAAACATGGTGCCAAACCAAGCAATAAATCAAGCCAAGCATGCAACAAATGGCCCAAATGCTCAAAGCAAACCAATAGAGTATTGAACTACACTTAGCAAGACCAAACATGGCATGAACTCATTAACCAAAAATAGTGTTTTGGGACATTAATACAAGGCCTAAGAATCACTTAGATGGCATCCAAATGACTCAAAAACAAAGGCATGCACAAACACCAAAACATGGAGCATGAGATGACAACCTTACAAGGCATTAAAGGGACATCAAATGCGAGCTCTCAAGCATACAATAAGGTCTGAAATGGCATGGTGGATGGTCCCAAATCACCAAAACAATGCAAAGATGCCATGCTACACATGCACATACTCAAGGCCAACAAGCCCAAATGCAAAGGAGCCATATAATACATGCAAAGATCAACCCAAACGACTATGGACAGAGCTAAAACATGGCAAGACAAGCACAAAATCTTCACAAGACTAAGCCTAAAACATGCTCCAACAA